CGCACCCTCTCGGAATATTCGAGTAAAAAACCATTGCAAATGTGTTTTTGTGTTTTTCAATTTGCAGATCATTCTCACTCTTCGCTTTTTAATTTTCAATCGTCGATACCCCTCTGGTATTCAATGAGTCGCAAATACGTCGCCACAGCTCCTTAATTCACAAGGGCATGCGCAATAAGAAGCAATGATGCAGCAACAGATTTCAGCCGCCCCCGCTCTCTAGTTTTGAATTGCCAACCTCCCTTCCGTCCACCCCTCCAAGACGGGCATCTTCCAGGACATAAATCCTTAGCCCCGCCCAAAAAAAATTTCAAATTTATTAAATGGACCCTCTCCCAAAGTATTTCCTCGATCCAAAATAAGGGTGATTCGGCTTGCGATATCCACAATGGAATTTGTCCACTTAAAATAACTATAACTGCGAATTCAAGTTAGTAGTCATTCAACCCAATCCGAGATTTCACTTAAATGTTTAACATCCAACTTCCAAAATGTACAACAAACGTGAGTGGGGACGAATTCTGTACTAGAAGACTTTTTACATAGTTGCTTTTACAATTCGCAGGTTTCTGTCAAACGAGGAGGTTCTACCCAACAGAGCTCCATGGAGTGTGTATTGCTGTATACACAAGTTGGTGCATACCTCCCAAATCTCATCTCTATGAATTCAGAGATATTTTCATCGACGATAGTAAAATTATTTACATTTCATCTCATATTTCGTTTAGTTGTAGACTAGATGACCTTTGTCTCGAATACGCTAGGACGCTACGTATTGGAAAGAACTAATGTCAATGCAATACATCAAATATATTATCCAGTGACCTTTCACACGATCATGTTTGCAATAATGCAATTCATTATACCGATACCAGTAGTAACAATCACGAGTACACGTTTTATTGCCATTTATATTTCATTAATAATATGATTAATTGTATGTTGCAAAATCCAGCGGGACGTCAAGCCTGTATAAAAGGCTATGGAATCAATTTGTCTGATGAGAGGGCTGATATGCTTAGGGTTAAGACGGTACGCGACCAACAATATCAACATCGTAATCGGACTGTAGATGGAGCGTACTTAGCTTCGATACCAAGAGACATAAGCTGTGGGCTTATGTGCTCTTTCACTGAATATTTCTAAAATAGAGACATTGATAAACGAATTCTACTAGAAGATACCCATTCAAATTGAAAGCAGTGCCTGCGCGAAAAAGGCATACGTACCGAGGCGTCGTCTACCAATGAAATCAATGTAGTTCTAATGGCAAATGTACGGGGAAATCTCTGAATGAGTGAAATATGTCTTATCGGTAAATAGAAAGCCCAAGGTTGGGAAAGTTTAAATATACCAACATAAAAAAATTGTGAAATATGTTTTACCCCTATAATTCTTTCAGAAATAGTCAGGATCCTCTGAAACCTCAAAACATCAAGTTTAAGCAATTTTCACTCTTTTTCCTTATTGGCCTCATCCTCTGCCGCCACTGAACCAAAATACAAAAACTACCAAGCTTTTTCGTCCTTGGTATAGAACTAACCTTGTGTGAAAATTTCGTCCAAATCCGAGTAGTTCTTTCCAAGTTATAGGCGGTCCAAGGATTAGTGGGCAGACCAACAGACAGATCGACGGAAATGAGGCACATGGCTTTTCTTGGTATACATATTGTATATAACATTCAAAAAACATTTACCCATTTGGCAAATTTTTCGCGATTTCAACACTTCCTCGCCAGTATGGGTGTGACGTAAAAGAAAAACGTTTGTTCCAGTCCAATAAAATTCTATGAATGCTCACCCTGTCTCTTTTTTAGTCCAACATTTCTGTGGACTTGTTTTTCCTTTTCTAAAACTTTGAACTCTTCAATCAAACATGCTCCAGTAACCACTAGTAACAGATCGTCTATGTAAATCATTAAAGATTTGTCCTCATGTTATGCATTCGTATCTCAACTGAACGTTAAAATGGTTACACCAGGGATATTTGTGCAAATTGACTTGTACCAGTAGACTTATGTAGGTTTGCGCTTGAAGACTGGTCATAGGTAGAGGAAATCTCTATGAATAAAAATAATAATAATAATAATAATTTATTTACAGTATTTATACAATTTGTCCATATATACAAGTGAATACATTGAAAAAGAAAAACCACAAGAGGATAGTGTTCTTCTGCGTGATTTAAATAAGCTAAAAGTCCTTGAAAACTGGGTGTACATACTTAAAATCTATTCAAAGGCAACGGGGTATATGTGATCTCAATTCTTTTATATATATCATGTATAATCTGAAAGCTTTGATATTAATTTTTTCAGTGTGAGTAGGTGAACCTTAATAGTTTGTCAAATTATATACAGGGTGTTCCTTAATGATATCCGAATATTTGAGAGTGTGAATCTACATGAGTTTGCTTTATAAACTATGTTCCAAAAATGTTTCCTTACAAAAACTCGGGGTGTTGAAGTTTTAGGAAAAAAATGGAAATTAATTAATATTTTCAGAACCGCTCCAGATATTTCACTGATAGTTAGTACGCAGTGAAAGTTAATAAAGTTGCATATTTTTCAATGCAAAAATAATTTTTAGCTTTAACAGTGGCGTGCGTACGGGTATTGACTTCGAAATTTTTTAAGAAAAAAATGGTACGCCAGTAGTTTTCTGCCAAATAAAAATTATGTTTGAATTTCACATTCAATTTAAAACAAATGATCTCTCTTGAATTGTTTTCCTTCGATGCGCCATTTTTGAGTAAAAAAAATAAAAACCGTTCTATTGTCTAACTAAATTATTATTAATTAAATTGGAAAAAGTAAGCACATTAGAGGTTATGAACAACAACAGCTGACAACATAAACATAACATTAAAACCACCGAAATGAGTACAAAAATTGTTGAAAAGAGCCCCCTTCACTTAGAATGCATGCGTCCGCCCTCCTTCTCATGGAATTGCGCATTCGTTGAAATATCCCTGGAGTGTTTTTTATTCTCATCACAAGCCGCAACTATTCTTTCTCTCAATTCCTCTACAGTGTTAATGGAACTTGTGTACAGCAGTGTCTGAAGATAGCCCCACAAAAAGAAATCTAAACTATTGAGGTCTGGTGGCCATTCTTGGGGCCCACCGCGGCCAATCCAACGATTTGGATAAACAGTTTGTAAATAATTACGCTACACTGAAATGCGCTTGTGCACCATCATGCATGTTCCACATATTGTTTCTTATTACTAACGGAACATCATCAAGCAGCAAAGGCAACTGTTGTTGAAGAAAATTGAGAATAGTCTGTCCAAGTCATTCCGGCAAGAAGAATGGGCCAATAAAGTGGTTGCCAATAATTCCTGCTCATACGTTAACCGAAAATTGGTGTTGGAAATGTGTTTCGGTTACGGCATAGGGATTTTCTTCTGCCCACAAATAATTATTGTGCAAATTCTGAATGGCAATTCGAGAAAAATTAGCTTCGTCCGTGAACAGAATCATTGATTCAAATTGCGGATTTTGTGTAATTTTTTGAAGATACCACTGACAAAAGGTCACACGCCTTAGAAAATCAATAGGAAGTAATGCCTGTACTTTTAAAATATGGTAAGGATATAACAAAAAATCCACTAAAATTCTCCAAACTATTTGATGGCAAATATTTAAGTGTCTAGCGATCTTCCTCGTACTCGTTTCAGGATGTACTCCGACTTCGTGCAGCACTGCTTCCTCAATTTCAGGTGTTCTTACACTTAGAGGTCTACCTTCAGATGTCCCTTTTCGGACAGAACCAGTTTCAACAAGACGACTATGAACATTAGAAAAGGTTCGAGTATCTGGCAAAGCACGATCGGGATATCTCTGGTGATAAAATCCGTCTGGCTTGCTCACCATTACCGTCGGCAAGGCCATATGCGTAATGCATTTCCGCCATTTCTGCATTTGAATAATTCACCATTATTAACAAGATTGTAAGAACTAAATAAAGAAAAAGATTTCACGGCGAACAGATTTGAATAACAGAGACTTGTCAGATGTCAAAAGCCAGTGACATATTCCAGTGCAACTAGGTGTTTATTGCTAAATTGCATGCTTCAATTATTACATTAATTTTCTCGGACAATAGAACGGTTTTTATTTTTTTACTCAAAAATGGCGCATTGAAAGAAAACAATTCAGAAGAGATGATTTGTTTTAAATTGAACGGGGAATTCAAAAATAGTATTATTTGGCAAAAAACCATTGACGTATCATTTTTTTCTTTAAAAATATCGGAGTCAATACTCACGCACGCCACTGTTAAGGCTAAAAATTATTTTTGCATTGAAAAATATGTAACTTTATTAACTTCCATATGTACTAAATAACAGTGAAATATCTGGAGCGGTTCTGAAAATATTAATTAATTTCCATTTTTTTCTTAAAACTTCAATACCCTGAGTTTTTGTAAGGAAACATTTTTGGACCATAGTTTATAAAGCAAACTCACATTAATTTTTCATGTAGATTCACAAATATTCGCATATCAATAAGGAACACCCTGTATATCATATATAATCTGAAAGCATTGATATTAATTTTTTCAGTGTGAGTAGGCGAACCTTAGTATTTTATAGTTTTTCAGATTTGATATCCAATGTTTTATTGATATTTTAAATTTGTGATTTTTATATTTAATTAACTCTTTTGGTATATGGCTGTATGTATGTATATCAGTGGACCCTGGAACATAAACGACCTTAACATGATGTGTCTTTTTGGTTTTAGTAGGCGAATGTGAGTTTCTTGTTTTATATGGATAGCCTACGTATTCTATATTGTTTTTATTTTTATGTTGATCTATAATTAATGTATATAGAAAAAGTTTGTGTATACTAAGAACTTTTGCTTCCGAAAAAGGCCTCTATAAGCGTTAAAAAACCTAGGTCGTTTGAAATCCCAGATACAGGTTCCACTTCAGTTACTTCCTTTTTCTGGAAGCGAGCTGATTTTTTCTGACCCCATCATTTTTGTTCCAGATCCCCAGCTGTTCGGAAATAAACTCCTCCAGAATTTTCTTGCAATCGTCAGGATCCGCTTTGATTACCTCACGTCGAAATTCCCAAAACCCGGATCATCCGGAAGCGACGCTGCGTCGCTCGACGGAACTCTGTACGCACTTTGTAATTTCCGAATATCAGCGCAGCCTACTAGATACAAATACCGGCAAGATGTTCGCCATAATGCAGATTGAGAACGACGTGAGCGGAGGCGGGCAGTTCCGATCCAGGAAGATGCGCACCAAGTGCGAGTTCGTCTGCAGGTACTGCCAGAGAAGATTCACCAAGTCCTACAACCTGATGATCCACGAAAGGACGCACAAGAGTCCTGAGCTCACCTTCAGCTGCGAAGTATGTGGCAAGAGCTTTAAGCGCCAGGACAACCTCAAGCACCATAGGTAGGTAGATGAGTGATTTTGGCATTTTGCGTATGGTTGACGTCCTCGGTTAATCCCGCTTGAGCTAGGTGGATATTATAGTCATATTTCAAAAACATTGATCATAGACCGAGATCCCCTACATACAGGTTTAGGCAATTAAATATGGTGCCAACGTCTAGAAATTGGTCCAAAATGTTTCTACTAATGTTTTATTTTGAGGGCAGCCATTAACTACTTGAGGAACTAATCCAAAAATCTCATGAGCAACGACATCATATATAAGCAAATGTCACACGCTCAATATTTACTGTAGTCATACCGTCAGTACTCATCAATAAATTACAAAGACTGGCGGTACCTCTGACCATGGTGTTACCAACTATTTGATAACTGTCCTACTAATTATCATGGATATCCGAAGGAATTTTCTCTGGGGCGGGGAAGAGCAGAAACAGACAAATGTGCGCCCAAAATTCTTTGAAAAGCAAAAAATAGCTCTGTCGGAAGATATGGTGTGCCCAAAACATTTTTGAAGTGCGGGAGGAGGAAAACTTTCCTTAGAGCAGCCAAATATTGAAAACCCTACCTCAAGTTGTATGATTTGAAAAAATTGGTTTCTCATATTAGTTAGAAGACATATTACATAATAACTTATTCCTAGTGATACCGGGATTCAAATAGCTTTGAAAGATACAGCAGACACGTTTTTAGTGCTTCATTCTTGTCAGGCTTTCATCTCTATGTCGTGGGGGAGAGAGAAGGAAATATTACTCGTAAGAAACATTGTGAGATTGCGAGCACATTGGTTTAAATTAAGCAATATTCTTGATTGAAACATGTCAAAATCTGACACAAAAATATTTATCGTGGCCATCAGAACGTCGTAAAGCAGTGCCCTTCGATTGGTAGCTGTGAGAAATTTCACTTCAGGTTGTCTCGACGTCATGGGAGAGGGGGGAGTTTAGAAAATGGCCAAAAATGCCCCTTTTATATTCACTCTTATGTACTTGTTCATTATCCCACGTCCAGAGTCCATTCAGCGTAGATTTTGAATTTTTCTGGATTAAGACGCATTTTTCATACTGAATTTGTTTTAGCACTTCACACATTTTACTTAACGATTGTAGTTTTGTAGAAATATAAAAGTATGAAATTCTAGCATTTTTGTCTGATTTTCTTGGATTGAGGTCTATAAGAGTGAATGGAACAATGGTCTACAGATCTATTGGAACAACAATTTTTGAAGTTATCGTTGCAAGCAACTTGAATATTTTCCTCCGTTCTTTATAAATATTCTTTGAGGGCTACAAATTTGGAAATAGTGATTGTTTAGTTTTCCATAGCTGTTATTTGTAGGTTTCTGAGAACCTATATAGGGTGAAATTTCAGTCCATAATCGGTCAATAGCTCCACTAGTATAAAATATATCTGAAAAAGTTGTATACAAAAATGCATACGCTCCTTACTTTATAAGTATACCATACTCTAGCACCCTAATGTGAAGCGAATTTTGATGAAAACTTTGCAGCTTTATCTGCAAAAGTGACTGATTTACAAGCTGCCAAGGTTAAGTGTGTTTTTCTGACAGAACATCCCATACAGGGTATTTCACTTGAAAAATGCATGTTTGTGTCTCCAAATAGCTATGAAGCATATTTGATATCTTTAGAAATAACGGAGCTATAGATCGATTGTATACTAGAAACTCACTCTGTATATCCGTTAGAAACTGTCGGAATTCCATGATAATTGTTTCAACAGACCCGGCCGCACTGTCATGGATCCTTGACTTTTTGTGTAATTTTTGAACCAAACCAGACTTGCCTAGCTGAACTGGGATGATCTATAGTCCGTCGGCAATCAGACTTTGATACTTTTTATTGCTGACGAGCCCTGGCTTGTGTTAATGACGAATATCTGATTCACGTATTTGTCACCTAACGTGTGCTCATTTCACATTTTACCGGCGTTGCCCGGAAACGCATTTACCATAAGCAAACAATCTCATATTTTATTTTTGATAGCGGCATTTTACTTCAATCGTCTTATCATTTAAGCTCTAGTCAAGATTTTCCGCCAAGGCGATAATAATAAAACGTTTGAGAATGCATTTGTATATAACAAATTTCCAAAAAGACTCTGTAATAGTAAGGAGATATATTATAAATACCATTGCTTCAATCCTTCCAAAGGAAGGCATTCAACACCTATTTCCATATTTCAACATTTAAAAAAAATCATGAGGACCTCTATCCCACGTTATTCATTTAAATTAGGTAAATTCAGCAATAAGTGTGAGACACACTGTAAACTACCGAGATATATACGATATTCGTGATTGATACGTAACTTATACAATGAATTTGAAGCCTGTTTGGATTATATTGGGCAAGAGATGATATTGAATAAAAAACTTGAATATTTATAGAAGGCTCCTCCATGTTATCTTGAAATATTTCCATGATGTGCGCATAAATGTTCTTTGTCCAATATTGTCCTATATGGTACAAGTACCTACATAACTTTTAGAATATAATCATTGGAGGCATGACGATTATCTTACTGGTACCTGGTTCTTGTGGTCTCTATTTTTGGTAATTTGGAATACGTGTATTTATAATGTCTCACAAGAAACTAAAAACAAATGCCAATTCAGGTGTATTCGTTTATCATATAGTCGTTACAAAATCATTTTCAATATTCAATAATACTAATAGTAATCTGATTAGCTCAACTTCTCCTAAATTCAAAAAGAAAATGCTGATGACATGCTGCGTCTATTTTTAGTAGATATGATGTGATCATTCGCCTTACGAGAATGATACTTCTGTAATGGATTAATGTATTCGTGAAGTTCCACTTCCACATACATAGGCATCTAGCAACGCCAGACGAGTGGGAGTCAAAACATTAATCACTCACGTATAGCTTAACTGGCATTCTTTAATAAGTTTGTCGTATAAAGATTCTCGGTTATTGTTTTGCATCTAGGTTAAAGCAAAAATTTGTAGACATACAACCTACCAAAATTTTCCAGACAACTAGAGGATGTATTATCTGGCATATTTAGTTAAATGGTTAATCAAAGGTAATTGTTGAGACCCTCAATATATGCGATCTCTGAACTGATGCGACTTGAGTCAATTTAGATAGAGATAGAAACAACTAAAGCAACTATCTGCCCGCAGTTCAAAGTCCTTCCTAAATAACGAAGAAACTTTGCTTGCAGCTACTCTCTAAATCCGTCCAAATTCCAGTAGCTTTTTATTACTACCACTGCCAATTTTGTAAAGTGTCGGTTAGTGATCGTGAGCTGTTTGTGACCTGAAGGCAGATTGATCTTTCGTGTGCTTGTACATACACGTTATCATGGCGTATTTGGGCTCAAAGCTGTTGTTTCGCCACTTTCACGTATTTTCATATTTTTTCTGATCTCGCTTGGATTTTCACATGATGCGTACGTTCCTTCCGTGTCGTTTTACGATTCATGAGAACTCTAGTGGAAGGCGTGCACCCATGCAGGAATATTCATCTTATTATTACATGTAAATATCGGCAGAAATATACAATTGTTCATAATGATGATAACAGTTTGGAGGGCAATGAATTCGGACTTAAAGGGTTGCGAATAATACACTCAGGTACAAAATAAATGCAACAAGCAGCAAGTTTGGTCAGATCTGGAACGCCATAAGCTTTTTATTTCTGACTCATATTTCATTGTTTTTCTTTCTCGGTAGGCGGTAAGTAAACTCATTGGTCTTGACTTGCATATCCGGTCTCTTGATTGTAGCCAGGGTAAGTCAAAATGATGTTTCATTACCCCACCTTTGAATCACTCTATGCTTTTTATTGACGTCAATATATACAGTGGTTGAAATTTTAGAGGCAAATAAACACTTTCCCGCCAATTTTACTTCTTCATTTCATATATTTTCTTTTAATTTCCGTGCGAATTCAGAAAGTTATGCTCACATTTTTGCATATCGTCTTTGATTTCGTCTATCTACAGTGGCGAATAAAATGAAAACTGTTAGCATAGAGAGAAAACATGCTGTATAATAATTTCACCCTCTACGCTTTTGAAATACAGTGCCAGGGCTATAACCATATCTTTCTCATCCTTCAATGTAATAAAATTCGAGCGAGGATTACACTTTTGGAGCAGAATGAATTTAATGCAGCAGTTCATAAATTTTAATCGGTATTATTTGATTGGGCTCTGGAATCACACCACCGACTGAGTGTTGGGGTAATGTAACATAATTTTAACTTAACCTGTACAAGAAGTCAAGCCGTTGTTGTAATCAAGAAATCAGATACGTAAATCAAAGCCAATGGGTATACCTACCGCCTGCTAAAAACTTACTCAAATGCATTTAGATAAAAACAGTTATGTCTTTCAAAGTTTGACTAAGACTTTGCTTGTTACATTTAATTGAGAACATGTTCATCAATCATTTACAAATTTTTGCTCCAAAGCAAGCATCTGTTTCATGCTTTTCAGCAATCATCAGTTATTTGTATGTCTGGTATGCAACTTTTATATAGTACGTCGATGCTGGTAACATTTTCAGTACTTAGTTCTTCACTGAGTGGCGATGGGACGGTTATGTGGTTGACGGCCTTGAACGGCTTTTTAGAAGTGGTTTCGCCATCATTCAGAGAAGCTGGGATACTGACACTTCCTGCTACGATACGTAGGAGTAAGTCCTAATGGCAAACTACTCATATGGTGGCAGGGTCATCCTTATTTTGCGGAAACTACAATACTGACAATAATTAGACACATACCATACTTATTGCTGAAAAGCAATGAACAATGTAACATCTGAAACTTATCCTGCGATTTATATGAAGATAATCAACCTGTGGTTAGTTTAGTGATGATGGGACGCTCATCTAATGGACGACCTTGTATAGCCTTTTGAAGCGGACTCTCTCATCTAGAGATACCGGGAAATTGTGGTTTTCTGCTACCGTACGTAGGGGTCGGTAGAATCGCGATAGCAAACTACTCATATTGCTTTAAAAATTACTAATTTTATCGATGCCAGAACCTTACGATTAAAGCGATCTAATTTCTTTTGTTATTGCTTGTACTATGTACGTGTACATTACGGATATATGCGTATATCAACCACCCCAGTTTCTTTATCGATATCGTTTTTGACTACCGAACACTTCCTCTGGAATGAGCTGCTTCCCTTTTTCAAGGTATCACTGATTTCATGATACGCCTGTGGGCGTGTATACACACATAGAGATAATAGATGCCGTATGTAGATGAGACGAGAGACAACATTAAACATGTGTGTATATACAGATAATAAGATAATCTCTAGATTTACAGATGCTTTAAAGAAAAAAGACGTGCCGCTTTTTGTATGTGCATATACAAGCACAAAGTTTATGATCATATATCTTTTATTGACGTGCTATATTGTGGTTTACGAGTAATTATTCTTATCTGCGTCATTCCCATGGAAAATAAAACGAGAGGAATAATCGAAAGTTGCTATAGGACGAGCAGCTAGCACAAAATTATACATGGAACATTTATTTTCAGTTCACATGAACCAACTTGCGCCACCGAAATGTACATGCAATTTGTTATGTTGGAAATGCAGCTTAACTGTCAACGTCCGTATCATGCAAAACGCGAGTGTGCAAAACCTGTGTTAACAGGAAGTAATGGAGCATTTCAGCGCGCGTTTTTTTGCAGCACGAAAATTTGACCCCCGTGTGTACCGGCAGTAAGGCACTCAATGTTTTGTAGCGCACACCGTGACCTGAAGATTTACTGTGAGCACATGTCGTTAAGACTTCCCTCGACATCGTTTTTTGCTGAATAAAGACTCGTCGATTAGCGAAAATTATGCACAGCACCAAAAAGCGATTTATTGGCGTGCAATAAACTGAATTCAACACGGTCTGTTGCTTGTCTATGCGGTAATATATTCGCGAAAATTTACCGCCCTGGCAGTCCAAGGAATAGTTTTAATTTCCCGTGACTAATCCTTGCCCGGACAAAAGGTTGGACGTCCCAGAGACACCGGACTCTCGCCTCGTTCCGCTCTACATTGTACAGAAATATTGCGCTTTATGTCTACCCTCCGAGATATTTTGTTATGTTTTTGGTGCATGCGGGTTTCTTGTTTATATTCTTGGGAATTTGGCAACAAAAGGTCAAAGAAAACGACACGAGAAACAAGTTTGAATTTCTTTATTCTTTTTATTTCAATCTCACTCGTCGAATTCACGCTAGCTTAGATATGAGTAACTTATGAATTAAAATCAGAAAAACCTGTTGTTTGGAACAACTAAAAATATGCTAATATTCTTAACTTTAAAGAGCTTCCATTCAATTTAAGAATCACATCAGGAAAAAATTACTTACCTTTTTTGCGACTAGTGATCCAGAGAACTAAACTCTTCAATTTTTATCTATGTTGAAGGTATCATGTTAAAATAATTATTTTAGTTGTAAAAGCTCAGTTTAGTCTATGAAGGTCATAAACTATCGGGACATGTAATACCGTTGTGTATTTTTCCGACTGCGATAACTTCGAAAATTGCGATGTTTAGGATATTAACATCGCATAATCACATATTCCATTGTAGACAAAGAAACCGCAAGAACACATTTGTGACCAGAATCTATCTGCTATGTCAACTTATACACAAATATTTCATTTTACAAACACTTGTCGGCTTAATTCAAAAGCGAACAACAATAGTATTGGTATAGGTTTTACTTTTCTAGTACTAAAATATATTCTGGTGTTTTGGAAATAGTTCTGTTCTAATATGACTTGCATGACTCACTTAAGCCAAAAATAGGTTCTTTTAAGAGGTAGTTTTTTTAATAAAAGCTCAAGACGTGCTTACTAGATAATAAGATATAATGCGATTTCATTCATTGGAAATGCGTGTAAAGGCAAGGACTAAATACTTAGTGTATCATCGCGACTGGATCGAAAATATCTATTTTGCAAAAGATTAACCAAGTAAACAATCATGGGTAACGATTTAAATATAGCCTTCTTATTTTATTACTTTGAGATAATCTTTAGCCTAGTCTTTTTGATTGAAGGGATTCTTAAAGATGAAGAATTTCGATTCTGTTCTCTTCGCTCTGCCTTCGTGAGCGTGTACATTCAGGGTATCTATGTCATTGACAAACACGCATTTTTAATGTTGAGCAAAACAATAACTTGTGAACGTATATAAATAATTTTGTTTTAGCATCTGTTGGTTCCCGTTAACATTATGTACATATCAGTTATAATTTTTTAGATGTAACCAATGCATTTGGCGGTAAAGGGCCCCCTTCTGTGGTGAAAAAGGGCTAACACAGTCCTGTCTTCTCTTTTATGCAGTGTAAGACGATCTTTTAACACTTATTTTATTTACTAATACTTTTTGGGGCCTACCTTATATTACTAATTACCTAATCAATATTGCAAAAATCGAATGTAAATATGATATGCAATAACAATTAGGTTAATATTAACTGAAAACGTATGTAGGGCTGCTCATAACTACGACATTCTTATTCAAAGCTTACAGCATCATCTTGTTTTATGCGATCGTCACGCTATATATTTTGAGATATACGAAAACTATTTTTGGAAAACTAGCTTATTTATGTTTAAAGTATTCTCGTCTTCTGCAACCTGACTTTCCACAAATGAAATGCTCCTAACCAGTCAGTTTTTGGAATGCCTTCAACAAACTGATTATATGCTTGATCGATTTCTTCTTCGGACGAACATTTTCGACCACGCAGATTTTTTTTCAAATTCTTGAAGAGCCAGAAGTCACGCATTGCCAAATCCGGCGAATAAGGCAGATCTTCTAGCATTTTGATGTTTTGCTGGCGTAAAAAGTCTACAGTTAGTTGGACAGTGTGGCAAGAGACATTGCCGTGATGCAGGATTGTACCTCTGCAGCAACTTTTTCTGAAGATGATCACGCAAAATGGTGTGCAGTGTTGAGGATCCTACCACAAGAGTTGCCTGTATAGTCGTATATGTGCAGCGAGAATCTTCTTCAATTAGCCGCTGAACTTTAGCAATGTTTTCTAGGGTCACAATAGAACACACACTTGCCCGGGACCGAGCTTCATTTCCAAATGCCTGTTGTAACTGTTCGATTCATTGATGTTCAGTTAAACCGTCTTTAAGGTAATGGTAAATCATAGCGCGATTACTCTCTCGAGACAACTCCATGTTTCGTCTTAAATTTGTTTACACCACGTGCACTGTAAGACGCTTGCAAATGAACTGAATGCGGCGACATACTAATAAAGGACTGCTCTTTCTAATAGTGCATTCTTGCCGGTTTTAACTAGTATAGTTGGGCATCTCAAAATATACAGCGTGCTCCTTGTATGTAGAATGAAAATGCAAAGGTATTTTTATTTTTTGAGTTGCACCAAGAACGAGATTTAGCTAGAATATTATAATTTGAAAAAAAATGATGATCATTCTATCATCACTTATATGTAAAAAAGTGTTACAATAGTATCGCCATATCATTAGTTAGGTTCCTGAATAAATTAGGCTTTTCAACACAAGGTTTTTTGATGAATATTCGTATTTTTAAACTAATGTTGTTTATGGGCAGTTCTTTTGGCTGACTTAAAAAATCTGCTATATCGCTTGAGTTTATGAAGTACAAATATTGAGATATCTAACTTCGTTTTTTCTTTTTTTAGGACAATACATTTCCCGACAACTTCGGCATGCAACTGTTTTACAGGCAGGTATTAAACAATAACATTTAAAGGCTTCGATTCTCCATTCGCAGTATTTTACATTATTTATTAAGTTATTCCGGATTCTTTGTATATACTTTAAATATTAGTACTTTTATAAAACCTATTTATGTACGAAAAATGTTACTAAATTCTTAGCTTATAAGTGAAGACTATTTTCGTCTAGTCTAAAAACAGTTCTAAAAATCCAAAATTTGTTTTTTATGGTTAAAAAACAGCTTGAATGTGCCAGTTTTAAAATGCTATTTTGTGATTTAATGTAGGAGTTATTACTATTAAGCATTCCAGTGCAATTTTTTATATGTACACAGGGGAATTCATTTGAAGATTTTCATAAAACAGTGGTAAACCACAACTTATAAACATTTGGAAAAATATTTCCTTGTGCACAGTGTACAGAAAAAATTTAATCGCTTGTACTATGAATTATTAATTATAGTTTAAAAACTTTGTAAATGTTTCATCTATTGTGTACTTTTTGTGGCATGCAAAGAGTATGACAGTGCTTATGTAGTATTTTTAGGTACAGATGCAATATTTAACTAGGATAAGGATATTATATTTATTAATTATCGACTATGGAAAATAAAAAATCGTTTTATTAATTGTTCTTTATTATATTTCTCTCTATCACGCATGAAACCCTAGACAGATCCGATTGCCTCTCATTATCTACTTCTAATGTTGTTATTCATCATTTTAGAGGTATTTTTGGATATCATAATTATCACCGATTCGTTTCATCAAATTACGTTTATCAAATTCAAATACACTTTTTAAGTATGGTCAAATACTGATACTTTTTACTTCGTAATAGCTTCCATCTCATTTCTAGCTTTAGACTCACAAAAAACTTTTCTTCAGCTAAATCCATTTATTATTATTATTAGTACTAGTAAAAATTTTAGCTTTTGTTAAGTGTAATAAACTTTGTGGTGCACTATATAACAGCATTTTGAATAACTGATTCTCTCTGATGGTTTTTCGGCTTGGCTCCGTTTATTGAAAAACTACTTATTCTGACCTATAGCAAACATAGCTCTTTGTTTATAATTTCTAGTAAAAGACTATTGTATGCCCTCTGGAACAAATTTCAAAAAATTGTACTAAGTGTAGTCTGGACTCGTCACCAAGTAATTTGTTATACACTGCTCGACAAAATGTATGATGCTAGATGCTCACTTAAGCCCGGCGTCATTCCGGAAACATTGAGGGCGTCTAAGTATTTTACCATATTCTCTATTAGCATAGATCAGGTTAATTAAATAGTAACTGAACAAGTATATGTGGTATTTTGTTAGTCGATATGAGCCACTCCTTATATAAATACAATGTGACTAAGTGACCCCCCCTAACTCAAAGGCTGGATCCGCCATCAAGCCCCCCGCCCCCCTCCAGAACTTTTTCTGGATATGCCAGTGGTTTTGAACAACACTAAAATACGTTAATTCAAAGTCGCATAGATAAACACTCACATAGCTGATGTTCTAACAGTGAAGATGTAGATTCCCAGTATATAGGTCAGGAAATGAAGGCATAAAACTTCATACCGAATATGAGGCAAGGAAGAAAATGAATAAACTCCGTTTAGAAAAAGTAATAATTGATCTCACTGAATTCTGTCAACATTTAAACACATAAACGCATGCAATAGACAAGAAAGTCTACAAAAGATTTTTGTATTGAGAAAGGCAATGAAAAATTGTTGATGCAGACCTCATCTAACTCTCCTTCGGACAATTTGAAAATTATATTCCTAATACGATAAATGGTGAACATCTCATAAGTATTTTCTCATTCAGTCCCAGTTCCTTGATGACGTATTAAATTTCCAGACTTTGATTTCTCAGACAATTTTTTAGCGGATTATCAGAGCTTATAAAATTACATACCTATGTTAGTATAAAAAGTTATTTTATCGAGTCATCATTGGCGTCCTTGCAAACATGTCCGGTGGTATTTAAAATAACACATCTTAAAATGTGACATTTTTTTCCTGGTTAGTAATTATCATTTTGTCGCTTTATTTAAAAGAGGTGCATCTGTGAAGAAAATTAAAAGGGAAGGTTCAAGCTAACTAGAAAAAATTCATTTCAAAAAGATCAGTGGTGTGCCAATTGCAAGAAAATTAAAGTGCGATCCCACGGATTCTCGCAATTCATATCTTTTTAAGGTCGCTGATGAGTATTCCATTCCATGTATCAGAAATCAAAATGGCGGATTCAGTATGTTTGCAAAATGTTTGGATTGTGCTTAAATTACCGGATTTGTTCGCAAAAAATCGTTTGGATTGCGCTCAAAATCAAGTTTTGTGTGTTTTTGAGCTCGCTGATATCGAATTTGATATCGATCTTTCGAAAATCTAAATGGCTGATTCTGGGTGGCAGACATGTTTGCAAAAAAGTCTATTGATTTTTTGAACTGACCAAGTTGAATAGCTGGACTTCAGGGTGATTTGTTGCATGAATACAATATTTTGGCGTAAAAATGCAGATCGTGATTTCAAGATGGCGGTTGATTAGTTTTTAAATGGAATGAGGTCATGTGATACCATATTTTATTACACTCCTGAGCTGGGTGTCTGGTAAACATACAACTATTCGAAATAGATTGGTATCAAATAGACGTTTTTTCTAAGCTCTTTTCGAATTCACTAATTCACAATGAATCACGAATAATTATCAACTACAATTTGCCGATATGGAAGTAATACAATTATGTAATATAATAATACATACTCCCTAGTACATTTTGCCACAACAGGGAATTGTTTCAAAACAAGACACTATTTGATTGTACAGCTTTTGCCACGAGCTCCTTGTTATTTTGACCTGTCATGGGACAGACATACACGTCACTATAATTCCGTATGCAGAACCTAACTAGAACTGATGTTACAGATGTGAATCGGGCATCCTCGTAACTGTGAAAAGAATCTGGGAGCGAAACCAAAAAAATTGGCAAGTTTTTCGGTTTTTGAAGCACTTTGCGTCAGTTTAGACTGCACAACAAAATCGCCAAAATAGATAATAGATATCCTTTACCCCTCCGTGTACACGAGTTGAAAACATGTCATGACGTACCACCTATTCAAAAGGTAGTACGGCGTCATCACCACCAGCCTGGCATATCCTTATCCCACCAAGGTTAGTGCATGACCCATCAATTATATCTTAGGAGAAATGATCCGGAATAATCGATCCAGCACCTTAGGACAAGAACAGTAGTTTTGGCAGCCAAAGGGAGCCAAGTAGCATATCACGAAAAACTCATCACATTTGCATAATTACTTTTAAGTGCTCCCGCTTACAAGTCCGCCTTACGTGAACCAATAATAATACGTATTTGCTCTTTTATTACAGTTAACAAGTACGAAGGTCAGATGAGCTGTTTTCTACATATCCTTTTTGATCCGGTCAAAGTAGCGTATTAACGAGATGCCTTGTTGCGGTGAGGCGGCCTTATTTGATTTGAAAAATTCTTATTTCTTCTGGTTTTCAACTTTCTATTCGATGCTTGTTGCTTTTTATAGTCATAAGAACCAACATGGAAATGCTAATGCGTTCCTTAGCTGGTGTAACCAGGAGGCATTGGAGTTAACGCCAATGCAAGGCAATAGCACGCTGCTGATTTTTGACACGCGCTTTTAGAATTTTGGGATAATATGTAAAAGTAAGAACAATATAAAGTTTCACTGTTGCATGCACTTAAGATGGGATTCGATGTCATTGGTAGAAGTAAACGAATAGAATAAAGTGCCCGATGCCTTAGCGCGGTCTCGGAGTAACAGATTAATCATTTGTACTGTGAGAGTAATTTCTACATATGTGGTTGAAACATATGGAGTTCTATCAGCATGAATCCACAGGTCAAGTTTCAGATGCTACATTATAAGCTATATCCAAGCCTACATGTTTATATTGCGTTGTTTGTCGGCAAATCTGAGTAGTTTTGATGCATTTTTTTTAATCATTCGTCTACCAGTGATAGCGTTGTATCAACATAGTAATAACACTGACAGGTGGAAACATCCACAATCATCAGGCTTGTGTTGCTCTTTAAAATACACACCAGATATTCGAATTTAATGACAGAATTATCAAACAATTTACATATGTGAAGAACACTTTGATCCTCTCTGCAATCTGAGAATTAGAAGACAAACAAATCCTTGATAGGCTCTACCTACCCAGCCTGAGTTCGTTGATCAGAACACAATAAGCATGTCGAAAGCGAAGGAACGGTTAAGAATTCATTCTGCCCTTGAGTATAAGATTTCCAGTTTGGGGGTCTCTTTGACGCTTTCCAAAATGCCTGCAAATACTGTTAGAAATTCCTGAAAAATAATGACGTACCTTCTGAACCACTGTACCTTTGAACTTCACAATATATGGAATAACGAATGAATTACCGCTATGGTTGTAGTCTGAATTTTAGAACAACTATTAGTAATATACATATATAATGTGTTTGGTCACGACATACCGATATTTAAGAGGGGTATTTTCCAGCTATTTTTATCGAGAAATCCACCCCCGTACAACGTGCTACCTCATCCCCCTTGAAATGGCAGCCATTTTTATTTTTACGTTACGATTACGGTAGTGCATGTATGAAAATTGTAATAACTGAGTAAGTAGTATTGTCACAGAATGATAAATTTGATGTCATTTGAACGATGACATGTTGTCCTAGCGATTATTGAAAAACTTGTTAGTAATAATTTCATACAATACAACGTAAGTTCTTCAATTTCTACAGCACAACATGGATTTGTAAAAGGAAGGTCAACAACAACAAACTTAGTCTGTTTAACTCAATTCCTAGCAGGTGTTTTAGATTCTAATGGGCAGGTTGATGTGCTATATACTGATTTCATTAAAGCGTTTGATAGAGTCGATCATGGTTTACTACTGGGAAAACTAAATAGCATTGGGTTATCCAAAAATTTGGTATTATTATTTCAGTCGTATTTGTCTGATCGCAAACTATATGTGGATTTTAACGGTGGTAAATCAATTCACCTTTTCCATCAACTAGCGTCCCACAAGGATCTTCCTTAGGTCCACTACTATTCGTCATTTTTATTAATGACTTAGTTAATACGATTGACTGCAATATTCTGCTCTACGCGGACGACATAAAACTGTACTGGCAAATTGATGATCCGTCTAGTTGCTTTTATTTACAAAGGAATCTTGACAGACTGTCGAGTGGTGTTGACTTGAGCAAATATAAATCTTTAACTTTTACTAGGAGAGTAAATGCAATTACCAATAGTTATAAAATTGACAACACTCCCCTTCAGACATTAGAGGAGTTCAGGGACCTGGGAGTAATATTTGATAGGACATGTAGCTTTAATGCACACCTAACTAATTTAGTGAATTCTGCCAACAAAGCACTGGGATTCATTATACGCAATAAAGAGAGTTTACCGGTACCACAGCACCTACAGTACTGTACAATTCGTTTGTTCTTTCTAAGCTGGAATACGGAAGGATAATCTGGAACTCATGCTTTGTTACCTCATGTGACTCATTGGAAAAAATTCAGAGGAAGTTCTTGAAGTATTTATCTCTCAAAACTGAT